AGTGAATTAATGAGCCTGCATTAGCATTGAAATAAAAAGTTAGTCAATACATTGATCGATAAGAAAGAATAAAATATTTTTTGTTCGCTTTTTATAAAAATTAACAAATTTATTTAATTTAAATATAATTCGATTAATAATAATTAAAAGAAATAAGTTTAAGTAATTTAAAGAAATTTCAAAAGCTATAAAATATGTAATGCCAATTGTGGCATCACAAGCAGTATTAAAATATATTTAGTTTGAAAGCGACTGAAATCAAAATAAATAATTCATAATTCCATCACGAATTTAAATTGTTTATACACAAACGTCGGCTCTTGCAAAGACATGAAGCATATTTAAATGAAATACATAACCTTTTAACACATTTCGGTGAAATTTCTCTTACTATTAAACTCATAAAATAGTTTAAAGTTTATTGAAACTTTAACCAAAAATAGAAACCAAACTTTTTATTGTTCAGCTACTTGAGGTGTAAATTAAGAAACAATAGACAAGAACGAATTCAATATTGGCACATATTCACTTTAGTGGAAAATTGTTTGTGTAAAATATGCCGATGTCGCAAATCGTGTCAAATTAAGTGATACTTCTCCCTTATTCCCTCTTTAACTGCAACCGAATTTGTCGATAAAAATCAGTAGAAAAAAATAATTCTCCGAAGAGATGAATGAATAGCGACCCGTTTATTCAAATTTTTCTTTCTACTTTTACTGACAGAGTCTGGACAATATGTTGTAAATTTCTATAATATGGGTTTCGCTTTTCCTGGTTTTTGACCTAGTAAAAAGACAACGCGTTTATTTTCATTTTTATGAAAATGAGAAAAAGATAACACATTCACTTATATTAGTTTTTGATTTTTGAGTTAGTTATATTTTAATCTTCAAATTTTTATATTTAAAAAAAATGCCATAAATTATAAATTGTGTTAAAACGCTTAATGATGATTGCATCTCTTTTATCAAGTAAATTAAAAATTTGCTCCGTATTTTTATTTAATTGATTTTACTATTTGCGATACCATTATAGGTATCCATTATAGGATTCCTAACTATTAAAATTTCTTTAATTTCATAAATGTAATTTTTTAAATCATGCCTTATCTAATTTTGGTTAAACCACAGCAGTTATTTATTTTTTATCATATTTTATGTGATAAAAATTTTATGAAAATGAGAAAAAGAAAACACATTCACTTATATTAGTTTTTGATTTTTGAGTTAGTTACATTTTAATCTTCACATTTATATTTTTTTCATTTAAAAAAAAAAGAATATGCCATAAATTATAAATTGTGTTAAAAACGTTTAATGATGATCGCATCTCTTTTGTCAAGTAACTTAAAAAATTGTATGGCATTTTTATTCAATTGATTTTACTATCTGCGATACCATTATATTCGGTACATATTTCCTGTCTTTCAAAATTTCTTTACTTTCATAAATTAAATTTTTTGAATCTTTCCTTATCTAATTTTGATTAAATTACAGCAATTATTTAATTCTTATCACATTTTATGAAAAGTGAATTTAAATATTTTATTCTCTTCTTAAGAATCAATGCTGCGGTTAACTTTTTTAATTCAATACAAGTGTATAACACATTAATACACTGTCACGACTGTTCGAATATCAAAAAATATCTTCCTTAAGCTGCTTTATTCCCCGAAAATGTTTCGGCTAAAAGGTTATATTAAATTTTCACGGTATTTTTGATGATTGAACAGTAGCCAGATTATTTAAAATTATTAACATGAGATTGACTTTGTTTTTTGGTTATAACGTGAAACCTCTCGGAAGCGACCTCAGTCCGTTCTTAGAGGTTACATCAATTGAGGTCAAAATTGTTATCGAAGCAGCATGATTTTTCGCAAATGATTTTAGCTTTAGACAGTGTCATTTTCTTGGTGCGAAAATTATACTTCTGTTTGAGTCATGAAAAGACGGATGTATGAATAAAATGTAGGGTCTATAAAAAATGTTTCCAAGTGATATAATTATGAGTAAAACAAATTTACCAATTATGAATGATAAAGCTATTTTAAATAAATAAACAATCATGTTTTTTTGTTTAAATATGCATTTAATTGCATATCATAAAAATTAGTTAGCTTTAAAAGATGAGAAGAGGTATGTTTGTTTAAGATGCTTGTTTTTTCCAAAATAAATTTTTTATCTAATTTAACTTTCAACTCTAAAAGTTGACTATTGATAGTCATAGTAAATCATCGTATCTAAATAAGAGCCTCACACATACATTTTAATCTACTAATTTGTTTTTATAATTTTTCTTGTTTTCTTATTTGATTTTTCCGACATTTGGTGCAGATGTTTTCCCGGACGATGAGAGAGGTTTTAACGGTCTCTCCTGAAGGTTTTCTTCAACTCGAAGTCTGTAGCAAAAATTTCGTGCCTCCTAAAATTGGTCGTAAATAGAGATGGTTATGTTGTTGTTGTTATTTCTAATGCCACATGCCACTCGAGCAAGCCTGCTTGGTGAAACCGAGCAAATTTAAGGTAAAGTGTGCGTTTCTTGTTCTTCAGTGGCGCCATCTGTGGCCAGGAATTCGACTTCTGCCACATCATACGTCGCACCCGTTTATAGGGCNATCATCGTATCTAAATAAGAGCCTCACACATACATTTTAATCTACTAATTTGTTTTTATAATTTTTCTTGTTTCCTTATTTGATTTTTCCGGCATTTGGTGCAGATGTTTTCCCGGACGATGAGAGAGGTTTTAACGGTCTCTCCTGAAGGTTTTCTTCAACTCGAAGTCTGTCGCAAAAATTTCGTGCCTCCTAAAATTGGTCGTAAATAGAGATGGTTATGTTGTTGTTTCTAATGCCACTCGAGCAAGCCTGCTTGGTGAAACCGAGCAAATTTAAGGCAGAGTGTACGTTTCTTGTTCTTCAGTGGCGCCATCTATGGCCAGGAATTCGACTTCTGCCACATCATACGTCAAACCCATTCATACATTCATTCATTCATCCACAGATCGTAATTTTGACCTGAATCAGAGAACGATTGATCTCCAATCCAGTAGCCCTAGAGGTGTTGATTTGTTATGGGAACATGGACTCGACAGATTTAACGTGCATCAGTCACTTTACTACGCGGCCGTGCATTAGTCTTCGGCCGGCAGAATTTGAACCCACGAACAAAGATGGTTATTACTGGAGGTTTCACTGTATTATTTATAGATAACTTTGGATCTCTTCTCATGCTCCTAAGTGTCCGTTCGTATCTATTCGTTCCCTGGTAGATCAAAATTTTTGGCGTTAGGACTGAGGAATTTTGGATGACTGAAGGCCTCAGTCCGTCCCCTTTATAGTTATAATCGTCATTTAAAAATGCAACTCTTCGACTATATTAAAATGATTGCCTCTTATCATTTTATTTCCCTTTTTATGGAAATGCTTATTTCTTTTAAAAATATTCCCTAAACAAAGCAAGGAGGTTTTGTTCGAAATCTCAGGAGTAATCCCTCTTTCATTCCCGCAATGTACATCAGAAAATCACCAATACTACGACTAATTCTTCCATAAGACTGGGTACTCGAAAAGTGAACCCAAAAGGCTTCCATAAAACTGGATTAAATATCTTCACAATGTCAAAAAAATAACTGCGCAAAAATATTTTCCATGTTTAAATATCTCTAGTCATATACATAAGTTTAAATTATGATTAAAGAGAAATATAACCTCCATTTAAATCAATGTTGATTCCATTGAACGTAGTATTGCACCAAATAATGCTGAATATAATTAATCTTTATTTTTAAGGGATGAAATTCCATAAACATGTTTTGCTTAATCTGATAACATAAATCCACAAGGAAGGAGGACAAACAATGTAGATTAAGAAAAAATTTCTCTTTTTAGCTAAATTAATTGTGTCACTATCTGTCTAATAGTTTTGTGTATGATTTAATAGTGTTATTTAAGACTGATTTATTGACCATATACTTTCTTTCATCTTTCACAAGGAACGGGTATTCAGATAGATAAACACGTAATAAAAAATGATAAGTACATCAACCTCCTTTTTTATAAAACAGAAATGATTAAGTCTATTAAAATTAATAAAACATGCAAATATTCCTATTGATGCAGAAAAAAAAATTAATGAAAATATTCCAAGCACAACGATCTTTATTTCTCCAGAAAATTTAAATTATCATCCACTAAATTTGAAATAAAAATTATTTTCATATTTTGGTCTTTAAATATTTTATATGATGGTGTATTTATTTTTTTTTTCAATGCAAATATCAGGTTTTTAATCTGAGCTTTCAAAGTAAAGTACCTCATAGAATATTTTCAAATTTTGAAAAATGAGAATTAATCGAATTAAATTTAATTTATAATGCTTAATTGAATTTACGAGAAAATAATCGCAGATTATTATCACAAACTTCACATCACGAAGTTGTTTCATTGTCATAGCTTGCAATAGTATAACTTAGAATTACATTAATTTTAATTCTAATTCAATACTAAAATATTTAGGCGAATATTTAAATCAATTAAAACATAATACCTTTTTTTCTATAAAATATTTTCATTTGCCATAAAAATATAGAATAAATTCTATTTTATTAAAAAAAATTAAGTAATACCATATGTTTAATTCAAATTTTGGAAATAACATTTTTTTTAGATATTGAAAAATAAAAATCGAATAAATATGAAATTCTTGAAAACTTTTTTATGACCTTAAGGAATATAAATAAATTATAATACTGTCTTAATCAAGGATAAAACTTTATTTGATAATCAGTAATTTATTGTTTTAATTTATGGTATTTTCACATTATGTCATGGTGGGATAAGTAAGCGCTACTGCTATAATAAACTGCAAATAAAAGGAAGAGCACTAAAAATTACTCAACCAATTTTATAATCTTTAAAAAATCTTTTTTAAAGATTTTTTAAAATCTTATTAGATTTATATAATATATAATGGCATGTAAATCAAAATTTCAATTCGTCCTTGATTGCGTCCTTGATCTATAAACTCAGGAAGTCTAAAGTGGAACCTATGAATAGTAAATTATTTTTTTACTCTCGGTTCTTTTGAATGGAAAGCTCCAGGTTGTTTATTTATTAGTAATTCATAAGCAATGTCGTGGAAGGAAGTGTTTCAGCTTCCTTGCCCAAATATTTATGAATATTTCTGAAGAATCTTAACATAAATGCAAGAAAAATATTACATTTGAATGAACAAGTATTTAAAGAAGCGGTTCAGTGGACTTAAAGTACAAAAGAGAACTATACGCAGTTTGTTTCAGCTATTTCACAGCTCTTTGGTTCTGAGAGTAGAAAAGAAAAAAAAATGTCAACAGAAGTGAATTACTTCTGGTCAGATGCCATACCTTTATGATAGTATAAAAACGGAAACTCTGATATCATTTTATGCCATTCGACCTCTGAGAAGGCGAACGAGCTCATAGTTCTCTCAATTCAAGTAAAGATGTCACGATTTAGAACTTCTATTGTATTCACTGTTGTCCAGATCATCGTAATAACTACCTCACAAGAAGTCAACAGGATAATCCGGCATAAAAATAATACATCTCTTGATAGTGTTGTGGATTTTCAAACAGCTGAGACGCAGCATTCTGATTTATGGCTAATATCGAGAAATGCACCGGTTCCTGCTGTTCTAAACAGATTTATGGCGCAAGGGAACATACCTAGTGATGTCCGTGTGTCCACATTACCAAACGGAGCTTATGGATCTCGACTTAGTAACAGGATACTCTCTCGTCCTATTTTGGAACAGTTCACGGGTAGCAGAAATCGAAATGATGAACTTAAAATATTTAATCCAAATAATCTTCAATCACCCCTTGCAAGCAGACACCAAAATACTGTGAGTAATGTAGAAGATGTTGTAGTCGAGTTACCAGTTGACTTAGCTGCTGGATTTTGGGAGCAACCACATCCAGAATTAATGGATGCTTTGGGTGTCAGAGGGAGACAAGCCGGACCCTTAAATGAACAAGTCGTGAGTTTTGAAGCGCCATCTCAGATCCATGCCCTACATTCTGATGATTTGAATCCTATTAGAGAAGTGTCAACTAGACTTCCATTTGAAATAATACCTTTAAATGATAATGATTCCTATATTGAAACATTTTACGACTTTCCATTTGAAACATTTGCTGCTGCTGAAGAAAATATAAACGACAAGCCTTATAATTTCTCATTAACTGAGACTCCAACCATAGGCCAAAGGATTGTGTGGGCACCTGTTCAAGGATCAACTTCTGTTAATTCTTTTGGGAGAAATAATAATGGTCCACCATTTTACGAAATAGCATTTGATGAATATCCGTCAAGCAATTTACAATCAAGTAACAGAGAAATGACATTAACTCCGGAAGATATAGAAATCCTTGAAAAGTTGGGCATATTGTCTGCACTAAACTTTGAGCCTTTTCCAGAAAGTAACGCATCCTTGTTTCATTCATCTTCTGAAAATTCTACGAATGAACTTGAAAGCAGTTCTCATCTCATAGACAATATAGGGGAAAATCAAACTCTTGTAAGTGCAAACCAAGTAAGTCAAAACGATAGTGATGTTATCTTATTTCAAGTTCCAAATTTTACAACTTCCGCCTATCATGGAAACATACCTGATATTTCAGAAAACGGTAGGATTCGTCCCATACCGTACACTATCACTGAATTAGTTACGGTTCCAACTAATGACAATATTCCTTCTGACTCTTTGACGAAAAACAACAGTGAAATTCTCTCTTCATCTCAGGTGCACGAAATAATGCAAATTCTTGGTTTAAACTCAATCACATATGCCAATTCTTCCACAGAGTCATTAAACGCTCCAAATTCTGATTTGGGTGTTGTAAATTCAACTGTTTCAACACCAGCAGTACAGAAAGCAAATATTGAATCTGAAAGTATTCACTCTTCAAATGTGGAGGTAAATGTTGCCGGAAACGATACAAAAGAAGAAAGCGTTCTGGATAATCTTGAAATAAGTTCTACAAACCCAGTATTATCAAAAACGAATCAAAGCCCAGTCGTTCTCACTAACAGAAACGAAGGATTAGTCAGTTCTGGCCGGATACAACCAAGATTTCTTGAAATACTTCCAAGCGATCGTTTGAGAAACGAAAACGAAATTATCGAATTCTTCTCTGGTAATATAACACCACTATCTTCTCGAAAATTGGAACTTCTGCGCAAATTGCGCATTGAACCAAAACCATATGTTTTTGGTTATACCCAGCATGATGGAAATGGCACTTACCAGCATAGAAACGAAACCTCGAATTCTCAAGGGGTGGTTCAAGGTTCGTACGGATATCGTGATCCACTTGGGGTATACAGAAATGTTAACTACATTGCTGATGAGAAAGGATTTCATGCTGTGGTGAAAACCAATGAGCCAGGTACTATTTCACATAGTGTGGCTGATGCTATTGTAATGTCTGAAAGACCCCCACAAACAGTTCTAGAAAAAATGATGGCGTACGCCAAAAAGCCCGAAACAAGTGGTGTATAAAAATTGTGCAAAACATCATCCCCTAAACTTTCAGTGTAGAACTATTAACAATTGTTATGTAAATTAGCGCACTAATTTAGTATTTTTTTTAAATCTCCATTCAGACTTTTTTCAACTCATTTATTACATTGGGAGTTGTTTATGTTTGTTGATATGCCATTATATATGTTAAGTTTTAATTTTGGCTTTTTGTTTTAATCTACAAATTTTGCTTTTTGACTAAATATTATCTATTATCTTTTGCTATTTGTTTAATATCATTTGATTAAATGTTATTTGATTAAATATTATCTTTTATATTTTTCTATTTAAATAACATTATTTGATTAAATATTACCTTAAACGTTATCTAAGTACTTTCGTTCTCATGGTATAATCTTCGACAGATTAAGTCATTTATTTCCTTTTTTGTTATATCATATTTCTGCTTTTTAATTTGAAGACATAGATTTTGAAAGAGCTTAATTTTTTTTCCATCCTTTTTTGCCTTGAGGATATAATAACATATTTTTTTATGGTCGAAATATCATATATAAGCGCAGTATAGCCGGATTTGATTATATTTTTATTTTTTTTCCTCATCCTCAAAAGTGTTTTTACTATTGAAAGCTTTTAAACTTAATATGCTGCATGCATTTAAGATTATAAGTGACAATAATGTCATGCTTATATATTTTTTTTAAATGTTATGAAATTGGAATCTATTTGGTCGCCATTGAAAACTTTTTCTGAAAATAACAATTTGAAATAATTGTTTTTTAATATGTTGTTTGTCTGCAAATAGATTAAGTTACCGGCACAAAATTTAAAATTTTTTTAAAAAATGTAATATTTCTTTATGAAAATTTTTAACAAGTTTAGCAAAACAGTATTTAATTACTAGTAAAATGTAAATTAGATTCAAGTTAAAATTATTATTTAATTTTTTGTTTACAAATTATTTTTAAAAAATTCATTATATATCTAGATAAAATTTAATTACTCACATTTTTCTGAAATATGCTATTAATGTTTTGAAGGTTTTTTTCTGGTTCAGAATACCTATTACGTACCTAAAATTTAATGAATTAAATATTATTGGTCATTCAAAATTACAAATGGGATTTTTAGGAAATGAAAATTTATTATTTACGTTTTGCAATTTATATAATGATGTATATTTTGCTTTAAAAAATTCCCAAATGTATTCATAAGTGTTTAATCGAAATTTTTTGGTATTTTGAATTGGTTTATGATTTTTTGACAAATTTCTACCAAAAAAATGCTTAATGCGTTTTAAATTTTTTTATTCTGGAAATAAATACATTAAATATTTGTGTATCTCTTCATGTTTCAATTGCAACATCCATGCATTAACTATTTTAAAAACTCCTAACCTTTTCAAATTGTAAAAAGAAAAATAGAAAAGAAAATCTTGCAAAGCAGTTAAATTTTGAGAAAATTTTTCCTTTTGAACTGACAATATAAACACGATCATTATAATGGTCATTTTTTATTATCTTAAAGAAAATATTGATCATACTAGAATACTGAAATACTTACCAAATGGTAAAAATGAGTGAAATAAATTAACTACATTTAGCATTACTTTCTCGAGTGAAGTTTTTTGAAGTTTTATTGTGTTCTTTTTTATTATACAGCAATTACAAAAGTCAAAAAAAGTTTTTCAGACAGTTAACGAGTGCATTAAAAATAATTGTATATTTGTTTGAATGTTTACTTATTCTCAAATCAATTGATCTAAAAATTATTTGAATTATATCCTTCAATTTAAACATTGTCTTTAAATTTAAAACTCATCCTGCATTTATAATTTTATAGATATTATTCATTATTACAATAAATAAATTTTGCTTGATTCCAGGCTTTCCTTTATTGTTGACATTCAATTAATAAAATATCCAAAAAATAATAAAAATACATAAATTTAAATTTTCATAGTTCAAATTTTAATATAATTAAATTAGTTTTTCAGGTAATAAAATGACAAATCATTTTAATTTTACAACCTGTCATTCAGTATGAAAATGTCAATTTGTTCGGAACTTTTTTAATGCAATTAAGTAAACAGTTTAGAAATAATAAATAAATTAAAATTAGATTTTTTAAATAATTTGCGGTATGTGATAAAAAATAGGTTCGAAAATTATTTATATTTTCGCAATATTTCTTATAGTTTTAGTTTTGTTTATTATATTGAAATATTTTTATCCAACACTATAGGGGGTGTACTAAATCTCTTGAATTGAAAACGTATTAGACATACTGAAATTCAACTTTGACTGTACGGGAAGCACTCTTATTATTAAAAAATTAATTCAAAATCAATATTTTAATTAAAAAAATTATATATGGACAGAGTTTAAAGTTAACAGTTTAAAATCTTCTGTTAAATTCATATATATATATGGGGCAATCCATACAAAATTTACACCTATAATACAGAAATGATATAATTTATTTTTTTTATTGTTCTTTATTGAAAATAAATCGACACGTATTTTTGCGTTTTTGTTTAAATTGCATATTTTTGACATTACGAATTTTTGAAAATTTCGCTTTTTTGAGCACACGACTTTGCAAGTTATTTTTTAACGTATTGCTATCCAGCAACAAAAATATTTAAATACACTTTCTTGAAGTGATTTTTCTCACACTTTAAGAAAATCAACATTAAAATATAAAATTTTTTGTTTTTGACATAAAAAAAATTCATTTCTTGAAAAAAACAACTTTTTTTGCAATTTGGACACCTTTGATTTCTTTTATATTTCGACAGTGTGAAGTATAATCAATAATGATATTAATTCCAAATTTTTGGAATGGTAAGACACTTTGTTCGAAAGATATAAACAAAACAGTGACAGCGCGCACGCCGCGCTCTAGTTTAGTAGGTAGCGGATGAGTTCGAGAACAGTCGTGCCATATTCTACATACATACGCGGAGTGCACACCGTCACTGTTTTGTTTATATCTTTCGAACAAAGTGTCTTACCATTCCAAAAATATACTTCACACTGTCGAAATATAAAAGAAATCAAAGGTGTCCAAATTGCAAAAAAAAGATGTTTTTTTCAGAAAATGAATTTTTTTTATGTCAAAAACAAAAAATTTTATATTTTAATGTTGATTTTCTTAAAGTGTGAGAAAAATCACTTCAAGAAAGTGTATTTAAATATTTTGTTGCTGGATGGCAATACGTTAAAAAATAACTTGCAAAGTCGTGTGCTCAAAAAAGCGAAATTTTCAAAAATTCGTATAGTCAAAAATATGCAATTTAAACAAAAACGCAAAAATACGTGTCGATTTATTTTCAATAAAGAACAATAAAAAAAANATACCCCAATGCTAAAATCTGTGTTAAACAATTTTGTAACAATTTTTTTTGATTAATAAGAACAGTTATTGGACAAAAATTTGTAAACCTAGCTGAATTATTCATGGAAATATGGACAGTTTTATAAAAAATTATTTTTCTTTGCTTTACGCTTTTTTGAAATAACGTTAAAAATATTCAATGAAATAAAATAACATTTTTGAAGCAATTTGAAATTAGTGAATCAAAATTTAAATTTTTATTTTTAAATTGCCTGAGATATGAGTAATTAAAGTAGTTATTTCATATTGCGCGTGTGTGGGAAAAATTTAATTTGTTTTTTCCAAAATTTGCAGTGATATTTGGTATAGTTTAGTATAGTATTTGGCAACTACTAAAAAAATTCGATTTAAATATCCTAAAAATTTGAAAAGTTTCAATCAATTTTTTAAATAGTTTTTACACATTTTAAAAGAAAACTCAAATTTATTTTCTACTATTAAACAAGATTTATTAAATATAACACTGACATAGTTAGGGATCATCCCTTATATAAGCATCTTTTCTTTCGCCTGTTTTATTTCCTTATACATTTATATTTCGATGTATGAAACTTTCTTATAAGGTATTATTATTTGTTTTTTAATTTTGTCTCATGATACAAAATAATATTTATAGAAAGTCCTTTATTTTGAATTTCTTTTATAAAGTACTAAAACTACTTAGAAAATTACTTGAATTTTTTTTAAAATTTTTAAGATATTCAAATCAGATCTTTATATTAGATGCCAAATACGATTCACTAAAAATTTAAAAAGAAAAATTTTAACTTTTTCCGGTGTATGTGAGGTTCAAAAGAACTTCTTTAATTACTTATGTATTGTACAGTTTTTAAAAATTTTTTTTCAAGTTTTAAAGCGAAAATTTTGTAATTAATTTTAAATTGCTCTGAGAATTTTGTTCTATTTTATTTAGCATTTTTAAAATTGTTACAATAAACGCAGAAAAAAATTGTCTTTCTATAAAAATGTTCATATTTCCATAAATATTTAATCTAGGCTTACGAAATTTTGTGCAATTATTGTCAATACTCACCGAGATAAAAGTTACGAGTTTTTGCTACATTATTTGGCATATGGTGTTCAAAAATACAATTTGCAGTTTGTAATCTATTGTTGGTCCCTCAACTCTCTGAAAGCTTAAATCTTTATTGATAAATATGTGAAATCGCATGATGTAAACATTTCTGAAGTTATGAATGATTCTTTTAGTATTTCTTGAGAGATATGAAAAAAAGTATTAGTATAGAAGTGTTTTCATTATTGTATGCATACGAATTCGTCTGTGGCCTCAATACAATATTTTAAAATTGCATTCTATCATTAGTTTAAAAAAAATTAGATTAATTTGATATACGCGTAGCAAACTTTGCTCATACGAGAACCTTGAAAAATATGCATAAAAAACTTGTTGCTTCAATTTAAGTTGAATTTTATTCTATATAATCATAATAAAAACGGAATAAATCTCTGAACTGTCTGTAATAAAGTAGCAGAGAAAAATTTTACTTTTTGTTTTCAGCACTGTTCACTCAATTCAGTTTTTTCAATTTCTGTTAGAAACTTGTTCAGAAATGCTTTAAAAAGGAGTATCAGTAATAATAGCATAAATTTTGTCCAGTTTTAATAGATTTAGTTTTATTTACCATTTTAAATATATTTTGAAATCCGTATAATATACTTTTTTTTATACTTGTAATCTATAAATTTACACAGAATAACCTCAAATCGGATGAATATTTTTACGAACTTTACTTCTGCACTTTGTTTTGTCCTTTAGTTAATCATATGCCTTCAGAAATTCCTTTACCTCATTAATCACAATTAATTGTTTTAAACTAAAGTATAATCTAAATCCAAAGGTAAAATGAAGCATTTATTTTATCACAATTAATTGTTAACTATGTAAACTATTATTTTACTAATTGTATTCATTTGCAAGAGAGGATGCAAATTAGAATGTAGTTTTGCTTTTATCGTGGTTTGAATCTAGTGGAAGAAGTTTATAGTATTTATAATAAAGCATGAAACTGTGTTTAAGACTTTCTGGCTGCTTATGCATGGGATTAGAGTTTATCCTCTGTTGTGGCTAGAAGACTACGCATTTTCAAATCGATATGTACCTAAACGTCTGGAAGTAAAGGCATCCTGTGCATGATCCTGTACCATCCTGACATTGACCTCGACATTCTAGAGCCATACTTTATGACCCCCTCAACCAAAAACTTAAAAGATTATATATATATATATATATAACTATA